AAGTTTCAAGTCAATCACACCCTCAGATTTACTCATACTTCGGTCATATAACTCCATATGTTCATTTGCAGCAATGGATTCTATGATCTTCTTAATACTGGTGGCTGTTGTAAAGTTGGATGAGCCACTAACATCTGTATCAATAAGTTGCTTTGTCTTCATTCTGAGTCCATTCAAAAAAATTTGCATCTGTTCAGTTTGATCTATATTGTGAGTGAGGCAAGCAACCAATAACCTCTTAAACCTCTTGTAAGCATCACCAAGTGACTCTCCTTCTTTCTGCTTAAAATTCAGAATATCATACCTTTTTCGAATATAAACAGAAGCAGAAAAGTATTCATTAAGAAAAGTCTTCTTCATCTCTTCCCAAGTAGCGATACTCCCAGCAGGTAATGAGTAAAACCACTCTTCAGCATCTTCAGAAAGAGTGAAAGGAAACATTCTTAATTTCTTTGCTTCTTCAGAATGCCCCTCAATCTTCAAAGTAGTGCTCATAATCAGAAACCTTTACAAATGCTTATTTGTATCTTCATTAATATTTCCTTTAAAAGGCCTCTTCTCAAGATGTCATATTGTTGTAGGGTGCAGATGAAAGTTAGAAACATTGACCGGTTGATTCACAATAGTCAACTGACCCGCTGGAGCATTTTCTACCCCATAGTCCCTAAGAAGCCTTTCTTGAGGTTCACCCATTATTGTTTCTGTCTCTAACTCGGTATCTGACTCTGAACCTGTATCTGAATGCTCCGAATGAACATAAATTTCATCTTCCTTTTCTTGTTCTGGGACTATAGTTTCCTCTTATGAAGCTGCCAGGCTTGCTTGTTTAGCTTGTTTGAGCCTAGGGTGCAAAGCTTTTTTAGGTTCTGCCTCAAAAGAAAAATTAGCTGAGGGCTTTCCTCGCATACAAAGATTAGACAAAGATCAGTAATAATTATAATTAAAAAAATAATATAAGAAGAAAATAAAATTTTAGTTGCAGAGCAACAAAATTCTAATTGAAATAAATCCGTGAACTCTATTATCTTTGGCAGCCCCCGGCAACGGCGCCAAAAATTTGATCAGAAAAATAGCAAGTGTACTATTTTGCCTATATAGTAATAAGGGATAAAGTCCCAAATGTCGATCTCAATGACTGCTTAAGGATATAAAGTTCTGAGTTCAATTCGATTATACAAGAAACTTGGGGGTTTAGGATTGTTTGGTGAAATTATAAAACAATTGCATAAAAATAAAGAAAGTATTTGAGTGGTTTAGAAAATATATGAGTAAGCTATGCTAGAGATGGTGTATGATCCGACTCAGTAACAACTCTGAATTAATACAACAACAACTTTTTGTAACTAATTAATTACCGATTCTTTAGAATGATTACTCCTAAGTCCTTTGTGAGAAAACCTTTAATCTTCCACCCTAATTCCTATGTCCATAAAAAATTACAAATGAAATTAAACAATCAATTATCAAGAATATTCCGGTTTCTATAGGGTATTCCTAGTCCTAGGTGATATCTACTATAGAATAATCCAAAGCAAAACATTAATAATGGTGGTCCAGCCTAATCGTTAATCAAAAATCAAACCCTATTTATTCGATAGGGCAAGCATTAAGAACATCTAGAGATCAAATCAATTATGAAAAACAAAGAGATTATTATTGCAATACTAATATCAAAGTCATTACAGATCCAAATCAGGGACACCCCTTAACATTGGGGGGGGGGGGGGTTTCTACTCATATTGTTCAAATAAAATACAATGTAAAAATTAAACATTACAAGAATTTGGATAAACTCGGATCGTCAATTGCTTTCACTCATGAAAATCCTTCGCCCTCCGAAAATCTTGTGCTTTCTAATCTTTGATTGTAAAATTCTTCTTTTTTTTCAAAAAAAAACAATCTTCTTTCATCGTCCAAACTCATCTAAATAGCGAAAAGTCAAATAACAGTAGGTAGAAATGTCAAAAATACCCTCCAGGTCAGTAAACAGTTGAAATCAGCAAAAATGGGAAAAATTAGCGTCAAGGCCAACACGACCCGTGTCACCTGACACAAGTGGCCGTGTTGGCTCCCTGTATCTTTTCACATAAATTTCTCTGTCCCAGGCCTGCTGACGTGGCCCGTGTCAGGTGACAAGGGTGCTCGTGTCAGCCCACTGTCACTCTTCCTCATGGTCGTATTCTTATTCTCCTCCTGACACGACCCATTTCAAGTGACACAGGTGGCCGTGTTGCCCTGCTGTAGGATGGGTAAATTTCCACCGACACTAAGTATTTTTCCTCTTTCTCGCACCGAGTTCTTCCTAAATGCTTATCTGAACCTAAAAATATTAAAGAGACACAACAAAAGTATAAAATGTGGAAAAATAGAAATAAAGCGACTAAACATATAACAAGATTAACTAAAATTAACGGTAAAAGAAAGTATAAAAACCACCGATCAACAACTAAGTGGATATTTACACTGTCTAGAGGTACAATTTCTTGGAAAAGAAAGAAACAAACATGTATTACTCTTTCGACCATGGAATCATAGTTCGTGGCTTTTGCTTTTGCTGGTCAAGAAGTAAAGTGGTTGAAGGACCTTATTTAGAAGTTCCATTAGATAAAGACTATGTTTCAAAAGTGCTGATACATTGTGATATCCAAGCCATCCTAGCTAGAGCATTTAGTGAAGTGTATAATGGAAAATCTAGACACATAGGTCTAAACATTCTTTCAGAGAAAGTTGATTAAGGATGAAATCATTTCACTCACATTTAGACGAAAAAGCTATAATTTATCGGATCCATTTACTAAGTCATTAGACAGAGATTTAGTAAAGACTACTTCAAGAGGTATGGGATTAAAACTCCTTGAATAAGAGTTCCAACAACGCTAGTAGCCAAATATAAAGTTAAGAAAACCTTAACCTAAAATTCATTGGATAACAACAAACCGTTGATTTGGATGATCTTGCAACATTATGTAATAATGTTGATTATTGCATTTGGAAGGTTGAGTTTTTTTGAAACTCTTAATGAAGTTCTATGTTGAAAATATGTATACATTTAAAGTAGATACAATATAAACTTCACCTATGGGAATTTCGAGATGGTTTCGCCTAAAAGTGAGAGTTGGAGTTTTTTTCATGAAAATTTTACGAAACAAGAAAAACACGCGGTCATAAATAATGCTAGAAGAGGGATATAGACAAATAACCATTAAAGAGTATGTGTGAGGTAACGCCGGTCTAATCACAAGGGATAACATGTTCAAAACATTGTTACCTAAATTTTCAATTAGACTTTATGTTGTCCTTGATAAGGTTAAGTTCAATTGAAAGATACTTAATGATATCAACATTCTTTGTTTCCCTTTTCTGGAATCTCGTCATTATTAGAACTAGTGGGGGGATTATTGCAATTAACAACAATAAATGTCCATGAGTGTGTTCTAAAATGACAAAAAAATAAGCAAGTGAGTAAATGATCAATAAATGCATGAGAAATAGTCTCACATAGAAAGTATCATTCACTTTGAAAGCCTTTATAAAGAGTTACATTCATTAACTACACAAATAGGGATGGCAACGGGGCGGGTCGGGGGCGGGTTTTACTATACCCGCACCCGCACCCGCCTCCATGTAACACACCGGCCCCCGCTCCCAAACCCAATCGAGGGTAAAAATTTACCGCCCAGACCCGCCCCCAGTAGAGAACGAGTGCACCCGCACCCGGCCCGCCCCCACCCGAAAAAAATTAATTTCTTTTTAATTGCAATAAAAATTAATAATTTAATTAAAAAATTGATTATTTTAATAAATTAATTAATTATTTAATTAAAATTTTAATTAGTAAATGAATATTAATTTGATTAATTTAATTATTTTAATTGCAATAAAGGTATTAATAATTTAATTAAAAATATAATTAATAAATGAATATTAAAATAAGTAAAATAAGAGAATTAAATTAAAATGTATTATTCGGGGGCGGGGCGGGGCCGGGTGCGGGTGGGTCTTAGTGTCTCCCCGCACCCGTAATTAAAAGTTGGGTTTTTCCCGCACCCGCACCTGTACCCACTCAAACCGGATTTTTCCCGTTAATTTCGGGGCGGGTCCCGACGGGTCCGGGTTTTTTTGCCATGCCTATACACAAAAGAGGTAAAGAGGCCACATGGACAAGTATCGTGGTCCTAAACCTTATGTCACTTGTCTCCTCCACATACCCCCTAGCTGGTGTCACCACCGGCTCTGCCTCCGAGCTTGGGTTCGAGGGTATGAGCATAGAGGTGCTACTGGCGACTTGTAAGCGACACTTCAGCACTTAAACATTTAAATTTATCATGTGAAACAACACTACCTTAGACTATAAATTGATCATTTCAAATTCAAAAAAATTACATTAGATACGTATATCCTCTTCAAAATAATTCCAGATTTGATCTTCTCTACATTTGAGTTTTGATCAATCTTATCCAAATTCAAAGTAGGTTAAATTATCCTAGATATTCTTGCACATTAACTCTAAAAAATTTAAGAATATTTAAAATACTATAAAAAAATAATTCATTTACAATCCGTTCAACTTGAAAACATTATCTAACAATAATTTTCAGTGCCTTGAAAGAAAAAAAGTCTATATTATTTAATATTTTTAAAGATAAAAACTTTATATTTAAACATGTAAAAGGTTTCAACAAATATACCACCTTTAGATTTTAGTTTTGTAACTTTTTTTGTAACTATAATCCTTACACTTATATTATTTTTCTCATTGTTCTTTTGTTTTTGTTTGTTCAAATATAATTAGTTTAAATTAGAATCGTTCCTTGTAAAACATATAATACTCAATTTTAGTACACAAGAACTAAAATTAAATGCAAATAATACTTTACAGCATACCCAAATAATTTATCACAAATAATCCACAAGGATAGAGAAATTTTATTCAACAAAGAAATATATAGGGTGCTTAATAATACATTAACATATTATTTATTTATAAATTAAAATATAAATCAAAGCTTAAGATTCAAATCAACATTTTTGGATGCTTCCTCCTCCTCCTGAGTATCTTTGTGTTCATTGTCAGCATCACTATTTGCCCCTCCCTCAGAAACCAAACCAAAGTCAATTTCAGTCATAGTAATTTGTTGATTGACAGTGTTTTGATCTCTATGCTGAAAATGGTGCAAATCCCATGCATCAAAACTTGATGACCCTGCAGCATGCTGATTCATTATATCAAATTCATAGTATTGATATTCACACCCCACATTACCATTAGAGAAAATTTCCCAAGCTTCATTGATGGTTTCGTTCTTTTTATGGAGTTTTCTCTCCACTTTGTGGCGATTTTGGTGTCCACCTAATGCTTGTGGAGAAACAAACTTTTGGCTACAAAAGTTGCACGAGTAAGCTTTTCGATTTCCTTTAGTTGGATCAATAATGAATCCGAAAAGAACAAATGGAGAAATTTCTTTCGATGAAGTTGTTGATTTTTCTTCACCATTATCATTCTTGAGACACTTTAGGCTCTTGGATTCAGCGTCAGATTTTTCTTCCAACACAATCACCTTTCGCTTCTCATTATTCTGTTTGGCTACTGATTCTTCATTCAGTTTTTCCTTCCCCTTGTTTGGATCATGATTAGTGTTGCACATGGCAAAAAGAGGGAAGGAAAAATTGTGTGTAATTTGGTGATGGGATTTTGAGGGATGAGTTAGAGTGTGAAGATTTTTGGGAAACTAAAGACATAGTTTTATAGTATTTAGATTTCCAAATGAATTTAGATTTGGTAAGTAAAGCAATCTTTAGGATTGATTTATTAATATTATATTTAAAGTAATATTTTTTCTATTTTTTTATATAGATAATTTTTTACATAAAAGAGATAAGTTTAAATAGTCTGTCTTTGTAAGTTAACGAGTTTTTGAGTTCGGTTACTGTAATTTATTTTTTTAGTCTGAGTTTCTATATCTCATTATTTGCGTGTGGTTTAGTTTCTAAAACCAAAATCCACATGAAAATTGGTAAATTTTTTGTGGATTTTTCTTCATTTTTTCCTCCGAATTTAGCTTTAAGACTAAAATGCTGAAATATGGAGACTTAGACCAAAATAAATAAATTACAGAAATTAAACTCAAAAACTCGTTAACTTATAAAAAAAAAAATGCATTTAAATCAATTTTATATTAATTATTATAGAATACACATTTTTATCAATCCAATAATTCTATATTAGAACTTAAATCACATGATGTGTAAGTGGAACATTCAACTATTTATTCACGAATTTTTTTAATTTTTTGGATAAAAAAATGATAATTAATTTATATATGTCCATTTAAATATTATTTTGAACCAAAAGAATATAGTTTTAGTTTATAAGTAAATATGTTTATTTAAAAGAGTTAACAAGTAAAAAAAATTGAAGATAATTAATAAGTATATCCAAACATTTATTATCTTTTTAGGAAAGTATATATAAAGTAGTAGACAAGTTGAGAGTATAATTGACAACAACAATATTTTAATACTTTATTATTTTTCAAGTGTTAGGTTTTTAAAAGGTAAAACAAAATTTCTTTTTAGTTGTCATTTTTAATGTTATAAAATTTTAATTAAATATTGTTTTATTTTAATTATTTATGACTATTTATTTCAAATAAATGAGATGATAAAGTTACAGAGCAATTATTTTATCTTTTTAAAAAATGTCTTAAATATAAATAATAAATTAAAACTATTATAAATATTAAATATTTTAATTCATAATTTAGACCTACTTTCAAATTTATTATTAATTATAATATTATATTATATAAGAAGAATTGCTTACCTTTCATTAAATTTTAATAACGATCAAATAATTTCAATAGTTATAATATAATAATTAATATCTTTTAAATAATTTTAATAATTATAATACAAGATAAATAAAATATTAATATATTATTCTAGATTTAATACATTTTTAGTTCTCTATCATAATATCGGGGTTCATTTTATTCCTTTAACTTAAAAAATGTTCATATTAATTCCTTAATTATTCAAAGTGTGTCATGTTATTTTTTATTTAATTAGCGACAAATTTAATAATTTTGTTTTGAATTTTTTCATTGTTAATTAGACGAAAAAGATTAACATAATATGTTTTGAAAATTTAAAGAATTAATATAGACATTTTTTAAGTTAAAGGACTAAAATAAACTTCAAAATTAAGATAGAGAAAAAATATATTAAATCAATATTATATAATAGGCATAATTAGTCATTGGGTCCCTTAACTTTGAGCAAAGTTTCGCTTTGATCCCTGAACTAAAAAACGTTACGTAATGATCCTTTAATTTAAGTTTCGTTAAACAGTCTGGTCCCTGCCGTTAGTTTGTGTAAAAAAACGTTAGTTTATGTGAGGTGGCATGCCAATTAAGCCAATTTAGGATTCCACATCAGCATATGTATATGTTGCCTGACATAGGGTTCTATATTTCACTCTTACTGCTTCATTCTTCTTCCACCATTCTTCTTCATCTGTCTTTCGTATTTCAACCTCTTGCTGCTTCATTCTTCTTCCACCATTCTTTTTCCACCCTTTCTTCCAATTTCCTTCTACTATCTTCCATTTTCTTCTACAATTTGGGAATTAGGGTTCAAGCAATGTCAAAGAGTGCAAGCATTGCCTCAACTTCAAACAACCATAACTATGACACATCTGGATCTTTGGTTCGTAGAAACAGGAGGATCAATTGCTTTTGCCAAGATGAAAGTCTTCTTAGAACAATGAATGATGTGAACAATGTCAACAAGGGAAGAAAATTCTGGGATTGTAGAAATTACAGAAACCACATTGAAAAGGGTTATAATTTCTTCAAGTGGTTAGATGATGAGTTTCTTGGTGAAAGAGATTTGAAGCTTGAAAGACAAAAGAAGAAAATTAACAGATTGAAGAATGACATTATGTACACTCGAGGGTGGCTCAAAATGTCCATTGTTGTTGGGATTGTAAGCTTAGGGTTGAACCTTGTATTTCTAACAATGTATCTCAATTGGTTTTAGGGTAGTTTTAAGTTATGTTTTTATGTTTGTAATAATGTAATGTTATGTTGTAACAAATTGATGAGTTTGTTTAATGAATAATGTACTATTATGTTGTTTCAATGAATAATGTCTGTGTTCTGTTTTCACATTTTCATTGAATAAAGTCTCAATATCCAACCTGTAAAATATGCATAATAAATGACCAATATTTGTGGAAACAAACTGTAATATAACTTGTTCAAACATGCTTAATACATAACAGGTTCATTGAATAATGTCTCAATATCCAACCTGTAAAATATGCAGCCCAAGGACCAATATTTGTGAAAACAAACTGTAACATGTTTATTTCATAACAGGTTCAATAACATGTTTGATACATAACACGATCAAAACATATTTCAAAGTTTGATATATAACAGGTTCAATAACCATTCCAACATTCATTAACAGATTCAATATTTGATACACAACAAGTTCAATAAAACAAGGCCATTATAAGGCAATACATTGTTTAATAAAACAAGGCCATTCAAATACCAAAAGACCATTGTAAGGCATTACATAACAGGTTCAAAACCAAAAGGCAATTATAAGGCAATACATAACAGGTTCAAATACCAAAAGGCCATTATAAGGCATTACATAAAAGGTTCAAAACCAAAAGGCCATTATAAGGCAATACATAACAGGCATTATAAGGTCATTAGCAAAAACAAAAGAGTCAGACCATTAATTGATATTACAAAATCCTAGTAAACATGATAATATTGATCATGGATGGATTTAAATAGGCTTTCCATCCTTATAAAGTTTTTTCATAGGTTTCAGTGGTGGCTGACTTGTAATAGTAGGTGGTGGTGGTTGACTTGTAACAGATTGTGGTGGTGGCTGACTTGTAACAACAGATGGTGGTGGTTGACTTTTAACAGATTATGGTGGTGGCTGACTTGTTTCAATAGGTGGCGGTGGTTTACTTGTAACAGCTTGTGATGGTGGTTAACTTGTTGCAACAGGTGGTGATTGACTTGTATTAGCTTGTGATTGTTGCTAACTTGTTGCATATTGTACCTGACTTGAACTAGCTTGTGGTTGTGGTAGTTTACAAGTGGCCTTGTTGTGACCACCCTTGTAGCAACGACTACACTTTATACCATGTATTGCCCTCTTCATATGTGTCTCATCCCTCACCATCTCACCAGCTTCCCAATTCCTTTTTTTCTTTGGTCTTCCAGGCTGCCTCTTTATTGGTGGTGGCTGAAGATCAACAACACTAGTCTTTGTCCACAAGGCTTCCCCATTAAGTGGATATATCACATGTGTATAGCAAGCAACATATTGTTCCTTCTTGTAACAGTCAGGTACAAAGTCATCAATCTCCAAATGTTATGCAAGACATTGCATGACAGCAAGAAAGTCCAGTCAGTATCCATAGTCTACATGAGCATTCTTTCTTGTAAAGGTTGACAATATATTTTTCTCCATTGAGTGAAGTATGCCTCACCTAATAGTCATATTCACCTGCACGCCTGTAAACAAGTAACTATTAACAATGATAGTCAATGTAAGCAGTTAGACATTTGAAAGTAATGTTACCTCACAATCCAATGATTGGTTTTTTGTGACTCCCTTTCCATCCTCTTCTTGATATTAGGTAGTATGATATCATCGTATTTGGTGATATTTTTCCTATTGGATTCCCATCTCTATATTATGTATACTCTAATTTCTTCCAGCATTGTCACAATGGACTTGGATCTAGCAACCACAAATACAGAATTGAAGGCCTCTCACATATTGTTAACCAAAATGTCACAATATGAACTTGGCTGGAACCTTGATTTGATCCAAAATCTTGGTAGAATTTTGATGAGGTGTTTGAAGGCCTCTTCATTAACTCCTTTGATTTCAAGCAATATTTTCTCCCAAGCATGAACATAACTTGCACATGCAGCCCTTTACATCAACTCCTTTAATTTCAGGTCAGAGAACTTTTTCCTTAAGTTACTATACAAATGTCTGCAATATAAAGTAAGTGTAAACATTACCAAGTATGTCATATTCAATATGTAAGTTACTAAACCAAGTATGTCATATTCAACATGTAAGTTACTAAGGTGAGAGTTAACATTACCTTACACAGAATTTCTGATCAACATTGCCAAGTAATTCATCAAGAGCTAGCAGCAAACCTGCATCCATAAATAAGTAAGAATGATGGTGAAAACAAAACAATTGGCTAACAGTTACAATTCAATGTAAGAGATTAAAACCTAACCTTTTGTTGATCACTAATGAAGGTATATGTTCTGCACAACCTGACTTATCCCAAATCAAGTATCAATAACTCTAGAAACCAGCTCCACGAGTCTTTAGTTTCACCCTCTACAACAACATATGCAATTGGAAGCATTTGGTCATTTGGGTCCCTACCAATAGTAGCTAGTATTTGTCTTCCATAGTATCCCTTTAAGAAACAACCATCTAATCCTATAATAGACCGACATTTGAAAAAACTGTCCTTGCAAGCTTTGAGACAAACATGCATCCTTTGAAAATGAGGATTCAATTAAGTAGAGTTTTCACTGCTTTCCTCTTGATTTGGTGGTTGACTTTTAATATT